ATATAGATAGATAGATAGATAGATAGATAGATAGATAGATAGATAGATAGATAGATAGATAGATAGATAGATAGATAGATAGATAGATAGATAGATAGATAGATATGTGTGTGTGCACATATTTACAGTAGTTTTATAAGTATGTGGGTATAAATTACAACTTCATGAGAAAATAAACAGTCTTAGGCTGAAGAAACCTATGGGTAAATAAAAGTAGCTAAATAAAGCCAACAGTTTTACATGATAACCAGTTCTATGTGGAACTTGCAATTCAGTTTTTTTATTAGAAAAAGTTTACGCAATCAATAGGCTTCTGCATATTGATCTATTAAGAAACTGTTTTGCTTATGTTTCAACGAATTTGTGGCATTATTTGAAAATGTACTTTTAAGCTCTCTCTTCTTTCGGCTGCTCCCTTCAGTGGTTGCCACAGCGAACTCACTCGCACAAACACTTGGCAATGGTTTTTATGCAGGATGCCACTCCTGACGCAACCAGCAACCACAGACCACTGAGCTACCGCAGCCCTCTGTGTGGAGCAGAAAGCTGCTGTATAGGGCATCCGGGGGAGCAGATGATGGGTCCTTGCTCAAGGGCCCAGAGTGTTGCAAATGAGGGTGACAGTTTCAACTTTCTCACCCACAATTTGATGTTGTTGTTCTGGGGAGTAGAACTGGCGACCTTATGATCACAGGTCCACCTTCTCTAACTTCTGCGCTACCACTCCCCCTGAAAATGTACTTTTAAGGATGGCACACAAAAAAACTTTCCTCCCTTTTTGGAGTTCATATTAATTATATGTATAAATGTCTAAAAAAAAAAAACATGCATGCTGCACTTGCATCTCTACACTGCTTTCTAGTATCTGTCTACACTGAAACATATCAGTGCTCCTAATAAACAGTTAACACTTAGATGGATTCAGTTTAAAAGACACATTTACAGGTTTTGCATGGTGGTATGCCTGGTGCAATGTTTTTCCTACCTGGTTGTCAAATTTAAGTGACTGTGTTCCCACGAGGAAGCGTATAGTATCAGTCTCACCTGTTTGGGCTGTGAGTGCACGTGCCTGCAAAACAGACCGTATAAATAAAATAGAACAGAAAAGAATAAAATAGAATAGAATAGATTTAGGTGATAATGGTGAATGGGTTTAGGGGTGATAGAGCTTACCTGAAATTCGAAACCATAAATGACTGGAGCGTCGTCTTCCATTCTCTTTTTGTTATCAACTGTCTTTTATCCTTTAAAAAAAAAAAAGAGAATGACACCAAAATGCCTTTAGAACTGCTGCATTTGTGTCACGTACAGCTAAAAACAAACCACAGCAGCATCACTTCCGCGATTAAAAAAAAAAAAGAAAGGGGGGAAAAAAAGAAGCGTTGAAACGAAGCGTAACACCCGTCTAGCAACATTGCACCGTTTTTTTAAACTTACGTAAAACACTATTAAGAATACAAGGTTCTTATCCCCGGAGTAGTGTACGTTGTTTTCTAATGTGGCGCATGCGCACTACAATTCTAGCCGTCAGTCTGCAGTAAGGTAGGAGAATAATGTCGTAACTGTTTCTATTTAATTTAAAGCGTGTTGCTTGTTCGTCTATGCCTGCATTCATGTTATGTTCCGTTCAATTTAAAGCTTTAGTAACTGTTAGAAAAGAGTGTCAATTACAGATAGCTTCTCAGTAAGGCTTAACAGCTAATGTAGCGTTATTAGCTTTAGCGTACTAGCAGCACAAATAGAAACAGTCATTAGCAGCTGCATCTTTACGGTGTAAAAGGGTAAAACCTTACAGACTAACCTTTACTGTCGCTGCATTTTAGTGCTAACGGTACAAGCTTGTACATATTTGTTTTTGAAAGTAGTGACAGGAAGTATATGTGTTCAACTTCCTGGAAATTTCGTAAGGTATGCAGTTACTGTATTTGAAAAAAGTGAACCCAAACCATTGTTCAATTAACATTTTATTTATTTATTTATCTATTTATTTAAGGGCAGTAGGATGGATGCAGGAGAGGCTCATGTCCAGCGGCCTGTCACTTTGGGCATCACTGTGGAAGATGTCAACAAGGAAACTCCAGCTCCAGAACCATCTGAAACCACCACCAGTCAGACCCCTTCCATAGAAAGCAACCTAGACCAACGGGATAGCATTGATCTGGATGGCAGGGAGTTTGTAACTCCACAAGAGGAAAGCAGTGCCACACCCTCTGAAAGCCTGGTGGACAGACTCAATGATCAAATGATGGAGAGCGTTATGATTTCTGACTCACCCAACAACAGTGAAGAAGATGATGTGGCTCCTATTGACTCCTATCAGGATGGAGGGGAGGAGGAGAATGTATCTTCAGGAATCAGTGAGCAGGAAAGTGAAATTGGACAAAATACGACTGAAATTACGCTTCCAGTGGACCAACAGGAAAAGGAGTGTTCTGAAGGGGATGCAAAGGTGGAAGGGATGGACACACATGAAGAAATTCTAGCATCTGTTTTGTCTCAAGGTGAAACACTGACTCCATCTGTAATCAGGAGTGAAGTACCAGAACCTCAGGCAACCAAAGGGGTTAGTCCAAAAGATGAGCCTGTGCCGGTGTGTACTATATTCAGCCAGGGCACCCAGCCAAAGACCCTAGCTCCTGATGGTTTCCAGCCCACCCTAATCAAGTCCCCCAGCTTTACTATGGGAAGCAGTGGTGGCAGTGATGAAGCAATGACTCCAAGTAAAATGACCACCCCACTCATGTGCCAGCCCAGTCCAAGCCTCAGTAAGTTTTTCACTGACAATGGCCAGGCCAATCCAGCCTCTGACTTTTTTGATTCTTTTACTGTTTCATCCTCTTTCATATCAGTTTCAAACCCCAATGCAGAGGTTCATCCTGAAGCCACCCCTGCACATATAGGTTTTACATCTGAGCGCCAGCTTTCTTCCACTTCCTCTTCCAGCACCACCCCAGGAGGACTTTTGGACTCTGGTGCTCCTACTCCCATTTCAGTTTTTGCACCTGCTCCTACTGAATCAATCACTAAGCCCCAATCTCCTCCACCACAGACTGTCCCATCTCCAACTCTAGGCCCTGTGTCTAATTCAGTCTCACAAGCACAGCCCTTCAACAAGCTCCAGTCTGTGTTTTCAGGCAGTGATGACCCTTTTGCAACAGCATTGAGCTTAAGTGAAGTGGACAGACGTCATGATGCCTGGCTGCCATGTGAGGAGACAAGGAAGGTCTTAATCTCTGTTGCTACCCAGCAGTACAGGCCAGCATATGTAGAGACTTGCAGACTCACCATGCCTGGACTGAAGTTTGACAACCTTCAGGTAAGAACCATCACCGTTGTGTTTTGCAGTACCGTTATTTACATTTTTTAGCAGGCCAGAATGGCTTTTTGTTCTAAAGATACTATTCAAACCTTTCTATAATGTTTTTCCGACCTAAAATACAAAATTAAATGTATCTTAACAAATTAGATTATTTCAGCAGGACAGAAAACAAAAGTACTGTTATATGTCTATATATCTTTGTGGTTTTCACCTAAGTAAGCACCTTTTGACAAATGGTCACTTAAGCTGTAATTTACTTCATTATTTTGAGGCATCTGCAATTACACTTGCTGGTTCTCTTCTTCTCTCTAGGATTTTTAAAACATTCACTGGACTCTAAACAGCACAGTGTACCGGTAACTGTAATTGCAGTCCTGATAAAACGTCAATTTACCATTGCAGTTTCATCACTTGGATACTTGTGGGGTAGTTGTACTAAACCCGAGGCTGAGATTGTTCAGTTCCTTATCAATATACAGTATGTTTGAATGCTTGCTTAAATAAATGCATACAACTCAAGGACCTTACTTACTTCAAGAGACAGTATTTGGCTAATATAATTTAAAAATATATTTAATATGCAGTTTGCAGTTTTTCCATTTCTCTTATCCCATGTAATTTTTTTTTTATACATTTTCCTCGTTGTAAAAATCAGTTTTTACCTTTTAGGTTAGCACTGCGCACACCTGTCAACTCTCGTTCCTGTTGTTGTTTTCTCGTTTAAAATGCTAACGTTGATGTTATGTGATTTAATTCAGGGGGATGCTGTGAAAGACCTGATGATTCGTTTCCTGGGAGAGCAGGCAGCCATGAAGCGGCAAGTTCTCACCGCCAACTCAGTGGAGCAATCCTTCATGGGCCTAAAACAGCTCATTGTAAGTTACTTGCTGTCCTTTTGCTTACAACAAATCTGTATAAGTTCACTTTTGAGATTCATGTGAACACATGACATTAACATATGGTTAAAAAGTATTTTTGAATAATTTGACTGAACTGCAGTCAAGCAGCACTTGAACTGAAAAATGTTGATATTCACCTACAGATGATATTCTTTGTTTAAGATTTTTTAATTTATTTTTATTTTCAGTTCTCAATAGCTAAAGTTTTACAACAGCTACACTGTTTTGGCTGCTAATGAAGACAGTTTAAGTGAGAGTTTAAAGTTTAGGAGATATTCTTCATAACATCCAACTAGGTATATTACTGATAAAAAATATGAGCAAATCAATGGCAATATTTGCCATGATAGAGCGTAAAATTATTTTCTGGGTCTAAACTCCTCCACATTGATCTTCATATTCACAATCTAAAAATGGATACAACTCACACTGTCAGTTTCAGTGCCTATTTTTAGCACACTTTATATAATATTAAGTTATTAGCTTTTTATGTAATCAAATAAGTAAAAAATGTTTGTGGCCAATGACAATTCTGTCAAGTTTATTAAGAAAACCACTCAGGTTTTATAAAGCATTTTTAAGGAATTAATAGCCATTCTAAGACATCAATGTTTTAAATCATTAGCCAAAGAGACAAACGAATGACTCGGATTAAACTTTGTCTGCTTCACAAATCAAAACTTTCTAAAGACTTTGAAACGTCAATTTTTGGATTTGGTGAATATGTAAGTGTTGCATAAGGCTACTAAACAAATCTAGCTGCTAAAAAGCATTATTCAAGCACTGATGCTCCATTAGAGCTGTACTTCACTTTCTGTAGATAAATGACAAACATAGCTGGATTTCGACAGCTCTCCATTTTGTGGTGTCTGCAGATTTTCAGACCTTTTGACAGCCAGCCTGTAAAGTCCGTGATCCTACTGAAACAACGTCTGGCTTGGTCTCAGCTGACTGATAAACAGTGAATCATTTGTCTGCCTTCTCTTTATGTTGTATTTCATCACCTGCCAACTATAAAAAATGTATTTTCCATGACTGTGCAGTCTCACCTCATTCTCTTTTCCTGCTGCTGTCTTGTCTTTCTCCCCAGCCCTTGTGCAATCCCTCCATCACCATTCATGACCCACAGATGACCCTGAGAGACAGTTGTTATTTAAGACATATGCACAGCAGTATCAGCAGACAGTGTTATGGAGAGAAGGGAAAGCGGAGAGGTGGATAGGAGGGGTGGTTTGAGAAGATGGAGAGGCAGAGATCCTCTCGACTCACAAGTTCTTTTCTCCCGCTGTGCCCATGTATTATGCATGGGACTGCTGTGCATATTTCAAGGGCCTTCTGGACTTGGTGTATATATAAACACACACAAGCTGGTACTTTTCGCTTTCCATCAGCTGCACTATATGTTCTAGGTGAGGGAGTGCATTTCAGAGGATCATAAGTCGTCTGCTGATTGGTGTGGGTGGCTCACTGAAGCACCAGGCAAACAAAAAAGGGGGAGATAGGGAGCTAGAAAGGTGATGCATGGCAAAGACAAAGAGCTGAAGCAGTATTCTGTGAGTGAGATGTATGGAAACAGAAGATGGTCTCACCTGGCCCTAAGCATAAACAAGGGCAGTCTTTTTACCTGATAAAATGTGTGAAGAAGAGGGGCTCAGTGGGTACTTTACTATTAATTTATGTAAAAAACTGTTGATAATAAATTTAAGTACCACAATTAGGCCTACACATTATGTTAAAAGTTTACTTGCATGCCAATAAAATATTTCACCAATCGAGGAGTGGATTCACACTATGAGAAACCCCATGCTTGATTTGAATGTTTTTAACTGAGATACTAAAGTACAGAAAGTGTGTGAGGTTTGTTATGAAAGAAGGGAAGGAGGAGGTATGAAATGTATATATTGAGTTATTACAACTTACAATGTTGGTGCAGTAGTAATTTAGAATAACTTGGATTATTCCATCTTCAAGCCTTAAAAGAAGTGCTACAGAAAGCTTTGTTCTAAAAGGGGTTCTGTGTTGGTTTCTTTGTCATGCTCTGTGTCTGAAACTGCTGCTGGATGTTTGAATAGCTTTTGGGATTAATAAAGTATCCATCCCTCCATCCTTCTCTTCCCTCAGAAGGCTAGACGATGGTGATACTGTTTTTGTCTTTGTGTGCATGTGTTAGCAAAATATCATGAATCAAAGGACAAACCATCAGAAAATAATAACTGGATTTATATCTAAATATGTTTGATTCAACCCAATTCAAGATGGCCAGCACAGCTAATCAACCAAGACATTTTGTCCAATATCAAGCTAGAATGTGGTGTAGCTGAGAGTCATTCACAGCACATGCTCGAAGAGATAAGAGATTGTTCAAGATCTTACCATGTTGTATGTGAGTGGGCATATTATTTTCATGATTTATCAAAATATAACTCATTATTTCTCAACATAAAAATTAATGTAGCCCAGAACTCTGGCATGAAAGGTGGTGGGCAATATTTATTTGTTTTGAGGAACGATATGTTTTTAGTTTAAATTTACCACCTAATGATACAAAATGACCTGTTAGTTTTTCTACATTTTTAGTATGGTGCCTTCTAGGGCCGTTAAATGTTTTTTGACTAAGCTGTAGGATGTCTGGCATTCTAGCAGCTAATTGCAGTAAATCACAGTATTTGCTCTACAATTTTGGCGTTTGGTCATCATTATAATTATAACTTTTAATATTTAATCAGAGTAAATTGCTTGTATTTGGCTAAGAAATTAAACTACCAGTTTGTTGGGATGCTTTTTTACCTTTTAAGATTAAATGTGCGCTTTGAAGAATACTTTTAAGGACTGTTCACTTTTATAAAACCAAATCGTTTTCTGGAAAAATGAAGTGTCATTACTCACCATAACATTTATGGTAAAAATATAAAAACTGTCACTTTTATTCTCCCTTTACCTCCTATATGGCAGTATAGTAGTTGGAAAAACTAGATTGTTTTGCTGCCATGGCAGAGCTAGAAACAATGCCATGGATTGTTTGTCTGTCTATCTATACACTAAATAGAACTTAATTACCTTTTATTGATACAGCTTTTGTTATAATTTGTCTTTACAATAATTTCAAATTATCTTGTTCATGGGTATTCCAAAGGTGCACTACAAAGCACATATCTTGCCACTGCTTAATGCCACTGCCAACTGCTTTTTTTGGTATCTTGAAGATAATCACTTCAAACTCAGATGATTGATAAAGAGGAGACTTGTAGTCAGGGCCAAGTGCTAAACAACAAATATTAAAAACGGTTCATGTTCCCTTGTCAAGAACCTTTGTGGCCTTTCTGATATGAGATGTCTGAATCAGTTACAGATAAATAGATCAGATAACATATGCCATTTCATCTATAGCCTTCTCAAAATGAGTTAATATTCTTACTAAAAAAATATGAAATTTTTATACTTCCAAGATCAAAGAAACTCAGATCAAAGCTGCCGTAGGTGATGTAGCTTGCAAAAATGGGAGGGAAGGCACAAACATGCAGATCATAAACTCACATACTCTTACTTATAAACAGGGAACGTGTACGAAAGTTGCTGACCACTAAGACTAGAACATGGGTCATGACATCAGATCTGTTGCATGCTATGAAAGCATGGGGCTCTTTGATATTCTTTGTGAGGTGCCTTTTTTTGTCTGTTTATACTAGGGGAACATCAAGAACTTATCTACATGCACTAAATGCTATGTGAAATTTGTTTTCAGCTCTGATCTTGTGCTTATGGGCTTTTGCAATTGCATGTGTTACTTCTCATTTCATAGAACTACATGATATGTGCGCATGTGTTTTAAAACCTTGCTATGAGCTAACAGCATGAGTCGTGTTGCAGAATCTTAGTGTGACCACATAAACTGCCACTAAAGATACACTTTACGTTCATATATGCATGCACACATACTTGCGTAAGACATGCATAAATGCTATAAAAGTCTAACAAAATAGCCTGCTTTTCCTCCATTTTTCTTGTTTGGTTTGAAGTCTTTTGTCTTTGACAAGTGAGAGCGTCTGTTTCAGAAATGATTTTACTAGTTAAACCACACAATGATGCTCTTTTAATTAAATGTTATCTAGATTGAATTGTCAAGAGCATTTTGCATATCAAACTGTGCTAATCTCTGCAATTCTGAAATGGATCTCCTGGGATATTCTGAAGGCACCGTTGAAAGATTAAACTTACATCTGCACTTTTTGGACAAAAGTATCTTAAAGCATCAATAAAGTATCTTAAGATTTTAAAGGAAGAAGAAACAAGAGTGTTCATAGTCATTGTAAAACTAGTGCTATGTCAACATAACCCGAGAGGCTGCTTGGCAAGATTAGGGTGACTTTTCTATTTATATTAAATTTATATAACATGACAACTATTGGCCTCTCCATAAGTTTACAAATATTTAACTTTTTAGAGAAGTGTCTCCTCATATCAAATATTGACAACTTTGACTTTAGTAAATGCATTTTTCCATTTGGAGGAAAAAAAATCAAAATCTGTCTAAAGCATGTAGTGGTAGCATTGTTTTGTTTGTGGCCTTTTTTACATGAATAAAACATGGTTCATCATAAGAGGAAAAATGTTTAGTCAAATTGATGCAACATTGAAATCTCATTGGGACATTAAAGCTCACTAGCAGTTGAGTCTTTTACAGGAACAATTATTTAGTCTTTTTAATTAAGACTTCTTAGTCTTATTAATAATATTTGTCAATATCTTTTTTTTTTGTCTCCGTACCAGATCTGATAACTGCTTTGGTTTTGAATGTGACCTGAGTACATTTTACACTGAGCACCAATACAAACCATTGGATAATCTATGCACATAATTTGGTCTGCTTCCCTGACCTTCTTTCAACTTCTCCTTTTGTCTTTCTGTGACCTCAGTCTCTTCTTTCATCCCGACGGTTGTGTGGTCAGCAGTAAGCTGGTCTCTTGCTCAGCACCACC